ATTAATTGCACACGACACGATTATGCCCAACCCTATTATGAATGGACACTTCCTGATGTGGGGCAGGAAACGTATATCCTTATATGGTGTTTTTTGGGTGGTAATTATGTAAATCACCCCTCCCCATGCACAAGCACCTGGATACGCATTCATCAGTTTACGCTCCTCATTTAAACACTTTTCCTGAAGATAGAAGAGGTTGTTGAATCTGATGTGACATGTTCGTACGAACCCTTTGTACGAACAAAAGTAAGAAATTTAGGATAAGAATACAAACATGTTCTTACACGAGGCCCATTGTTCCAGGAGTCTTGTGGTTCATTCAGATGGTTGGTTGATTGTTTAACTGCCCCCAGGTGTGAGGGAAAAATCTGAGTGGTTGTTTGTTCATTTGTGTCTTTGTGTCCCTGTGATGGACTTATGTCCTGTCCAGGGTGTCCCATGCCTCTGATAGACACAGACAGCAGCTACCCAGAAAGGAAAAAATGGGTCAAGAAGATTTCTGTCAACTTAAGAAATTTAGGACACCAAGCTTAATGAAAACAGTTTTTTCTGTCTTTGTGGGGTTAAGTTATTGAACAATCTTGCACTTAAATTAAAAGTGTCTAAACATTTTTCAGTTTATTAAACTATGTAATCAAAATAGTTCAAAAGTATTTATGTAAACCTTATGTTAGTTTTTGTTGATTTGAAGAAGGCCTTCAACACTGGTGACCACACCATTCTCATTGAAAAGCTCAATAAATAGAGGACCAGCACTACTGTGGGGAACTAGTTATTTGAAAAATAGGAAATGGTTTGTTCAAATAAATAATGTAAGATCTGAATTATGTAATATTAGTTATGGAGTTCCTCAGGTACCTCTGTGCTTGGACCAAAGCTGTTTATTTTATTAGTAAATGACTTGGTCAATTTGTCAGGGCTTTTGAAGTGGGTTTTATTTGCAGATGATACCACATTTCTTCATTCATGTGAAAGTAATAAATGGCATGTTTTGTGAAAATGCAAACTTGGTTTCAATTTAATAAGTTATCATTAAATTTGGATAAAACAAAGTACATGATATTTGATAACGGGAAGAAAACTATTGATGTCCTATTTAGGGGTGATGGTGTTGAGATTTGTAGAGTCAGCGAGGTAAAAGTTTTGGGCATCGTTAGTGATAAAAAGCTGACTAAAATAAAAATAGTAAAGTCACTAAGCATTACTGTATAAAGTAAAAGAGTTATTGACTGATAAAGCATTGTATATAATGTAAAATGTAATGATCGTTCTACATTTAATTTACTTTATTGAAGTTTGGGGAAAAGCATGCAAGACAATAACAAAAGTCCTGTTTTTATTTTATTGAAAAGAGCTATAAGAATTATTAGTATAAAGTGCTATGGTCACCCAACACATTGTTTTCTCCGTTGAAATTATTAACATTTCAGGATTTGACAAATCTGACCTGATCCACAGAAATATGACTTTGTTGTGTTTTCTGGATGTAAGGAGCGTCTGAACACGGTGTCAAATTTTTATTTTAGTTTGAGTTTTTATTGTTTAAACTCGAACGATCATGAAACTGAACCCTGGGACTGAAAATCATTTAACCTCAGACAAGAAAATAGATCAGTCTAAAAATGATCAAAGAACCTCAGTCCAGTCTGTAAACTGTTTTTATAGTTTTGTCACAGTTGAAAACCTTTTGGGTCCCGCCGGCCTGTAATACCCGACACATTAYGTGTGGCATAAAAAAATAATAATAAAATTAAAAAGGCTGAAGAGAGGGAGCAAAATCAAATGCAAATGGTGGCTCACTGTACGGTAAGAATAATTATTTTTTCTGTTTGTTGTCTTCTGGCTGTTGCTGAGCTGAGTTGTGGCCGGAGCGCAGCAGCTGCGCTTTGGGTAGATTCTCGCGCCAGGCACTCACCCTCACCAGCTGGGAAGGTGTTCATATGTGTCAACCCCTTTGGACGTTTACCTGTCTAATGAGCCTCAAAAATYTATATTTTTTGCTAAAAATCCGTAGGCTACCACTCGTACCCGCTCGTGGGGGTGGGGTGGGGGTCTGTACGTGGAGATGACAGCGCCTGCTGTAACGCAGGAGGAAAGGAGAGCAGAAAAAGTGGATAATTTGATGTTTGTTTTTTTATTGTTTGTTTTTTAATGCCAGTTCAACGCCATGTTCAACTAAGTAGACAACAACTAACCAGACTTCAATATCACATTCAGGAGATGTCTGTAAATTTCAGGAACATCTCAGGCTTTGGTTATCCCGTGCGAATGCACCACATAAAACAATGACACCCCACYCCTTATTTARACAGTTTTCTCACTCATTCTCCGTTTAATTTATATTTTTCCTGCATCTAAAAATAATTTCTGATCCCACAGAGAGGAATCAGAGGAGAATCTCACACTCTGGACACATTTACATCTATTTTACATATTCAAATGGAGGCGTGTCAGGGGAGGTGTCTCACGTGCGCTCAGTTCCACGTTCATTGGGATGTATAAAGGAAAGGTGCAGGAACCTGCGTACGCATGGTTTATACAAGTAGTATAGATATAATACATATAATATAGATATTTGTAGTTTTTGTTTTATTTTTTGTACATTTGGGGATCATTGAAGCTTGAGTTTGTTTGTTGGTTAAATTTGTTTTTTGAAAATAAGGGCATATATGAAAATATCTTTTTTCACTCTGCACCCTTTTCATTGATTTACTCTTTTTAATTTTACTGTATATAGATTTTGTTTTTATGAATAAAATAAATTGTATAAACAATATAAAGAATAGCCTGATAATTAATGACAAGTAACTGCTGTGAGGTGAATATTTATCACTGGATAGTTTATATGAATATGTAGGGGTAATTTAAAAGTTAGAATTCTGAAATAGATAATTTGTGAATATATTTAAATATATTATATTTACATATACTATATTTATAATATATCATTCCTCGGAGCACCACATCCTTAATTCGATCAGATACTGACCCAGGAAAGAGACGAAAAACTGTACTTTATTGTAATCAGTCTCAGAATAAATTTACCCACATTGATCTGAGTTCTTGTCTTATCAAAACCAGAATATCTCATCAAGACACAAAGAAAAATTGAGATTAGCTTAAATTGGCAAGTTCTCCACGAGCCATTTATTTACAGATTAAATGTATTTACAACTATGGCAAACAATGAATGGATGATGACATGTTGAACAAGGAAAACTGAGGGAGTTTGTTATCACAAATGAATGGACAGACAGACAAACAAACAAACATGTAAACAAAAATTAAACACTGAGAAGTGTTTAGAGGCTTTGAAGGAGGTGAGATTGGATAAGCTGTTTCTGTGGTTGTTTTAACTAGGGCTTCCTAGCTAAATTAAGGTCGATAAAAGCGTTTAGTTTACCAACGTTCCTACAAAGATAAAAATCAAATCTACGTCTGAGCACCTGTGTGTTTCACCAAGACAA